GGGTTATTTTTGAGAGTTTATTTTTCAGAAAAAAACCTCTCCTTTTTCACTTTTCTTCCGTAGGAGACTAATTTCTGTTGCCCTGATAATTTGATTAAAAATGAATGAAAACCACTGATTCTTTCCATAATTACAGAAAATGTCCCTTGTTTTCTCTCTCTTTCTCCCTCCCTCCCTCTCCAAACTAACCTACTTCCTTATCCCTCGCTGTCACTAAATTACTATATAAAACTAATTTGGAATGTTTTTTTTTCTAAGCAGTCTAACATCATTTTTTTAAAAAAAATCAGTTATAACATGGTATTTTATTGATATTATCAACTTAAAGACAAACAACTTGATGTAAAGGCTATCAGACAGTTATTATTTATTTTTATCTGTAGACATTTAGCTATGTTTCCTTGGAAAATAGCTACTTTGCATAACATACTGATTGTATAAGAAAGCCAGGGGATTGTTAGTCTTTCTGATTAAATGTTTCAACCCAAATAGACTTGTGGGGGGGGGGGGGGAAGATGGCTGGCAATGTTGCAATAAATAAATTTGTTCCAGGAGTTTACTTAATCAGCAATAGATATTTAGTGGTAGAAGGACACTTCTAAATTTGACGTAGTCCCAAAAATTGTGATAATAACCAATATTTGATTTCTCAGTGCAATTTTCAAATTATTTTCAAACTAAATACAGTGAATCAGAATCCAAATATTTATAGAAACATTTCTCAAAAACTTAAAACAGCCAGTGTTAGTAATTAAACATTTTGCACCTATCCAACATCTTCAACAGAAAATCATATATTTGTCAGATAGTGTAAGCTGATGTATTAGTATAAATATAACTACTTTTGCCAGAAAATGCTGGCAAAACACAGATGAGTATTGAATCCCTGAGATGGTCTTCAGCTCGGCTAGAATTATTTTCCTTTAATTCTTTCTTTGAATCTTTCTATTGAATTATGTCTGTACAACTTTATTAATTGTACAGTAGCAAGAGCTGACACTAAATTTATCCAGATGCTAAATTTTTTGATGTTTTTTATGGTTTGAGAATGATAGGCATGCCTAAATGCCAATGAACCTGGCACCAAATAGACCTCTTTATATGCTTATCATTCTTAATCCAAATGTGCATGGACTAAATGAATGATAATACCCAACATCCATTGACAGCAGCTATTATGCATGATAATCTTGATGAGGTTTGCAAGTCGGCATTTTCAAATGCTGCTGCCTAATGCCTAGAATAATTATTTCACTATGATCACATGAAAGGCATCATATTTTACTATTTCCTTTTACTTAAACCAGTAGAAACATCAAGGCAAGGAATCCAGTGATAAAGTTACTTTGTCTCAGTACTAAAATTCTATACTAAAATCCCATAAGCTGCTATGGTGCTAAGAACCCTTTAGAGCATTGATTTTATTTGGAGAAAGTAATTGAGCTGAAAGAGATTAAAGACTCTCTACCCATAAAAGGCCGTGCTTGTTTCATTTCCTTTTGACTGTGTTGTGCTTTGTTCATTTTTAATAAAGGCAGCCACCTGCTTTGATAATAGCATCCTAAACACGCTTTTCTCACTGTGTCTCCGCGCATACAGATTTAGCTGCTCATCCTTTGAAGTTGTGTAAGCTTGTAATGAAGCACCTCGTGGCCTTAAATATTACCCTGCAGGTGGATTTAACATTGTCTGCTCCTTGAACAAGGTGACAGAGAGGGACTCTTGGGGCTAGTTAGGGAAAGCAGTATCCTACTTCAGAAAAAGTTGCTTAGGAAATATTTAGTTAAAATTACTTCTATAATGAATTATATTAGCTAATAAATGCTCATCCGCAAAGAGGGAAAAAGATACTTTAAGTTATTATAGGCCAGCATAAGGAGGCATAAAATTATACCACCTTGTCTATGTCACATGGGGAATGTTTTGCCCTTCCTTTTGGTTCCTTTTACTGTCTTTATTCTTTGTAAATTTAAATTCCAGATATTCTAAACAACAGCCTTTTCAAGAAGATCAACATTTTTAAACCCTCCCAACAAATCAACACAACCCAATTAGGTAAAGTAACATGTACCAAATTAAAAACCTCAAAATTACTTATCTTTGTATTTAGAAAAAGGGTTTATGAAGAATTCGCAAGCAAGAACATGTCTAACATTTCCTTTCATCAGTAAACTCATTATTTCAGAATATAACTATTGTCATTTGAAAGGAAAGTTGAGGGAAAGAGATCTACAGAAAACAATGCATGATTTTGTTTTCTGGCCACTTTGGCTCATAATGTAAGTCATTTAATTTCAAGTAAATATAATACCAAAGAGCTTCCTCCTGAAGCCAGTAGGTTACATGGTGCATAGGAAGACCACATCCCCACCCTCTATTCTGCTTTCCTCTAGTGATGCACCTAATCAGCTGACAGCAAAACTCTTACCAGCAGTGCCTGTGAAGAAAAAACAAGGGAGCAATTTGGATGAGTGCAAGCAAGGTAGGGCTGGTTAGATGGTACTGATGATGGGTGAGGAAGAGGGATCAACCATCAATCAATACCATCTAATCAGCCCTACCTTGCTTGCAGTCATCCAAATTGCTTCCTTGATTTCCCCCTCTCTGGAGGGAGGTGCCCTTTGGATACACTAGAACTGCATGGAATACTGCAAGGGTGCAGTATTCCATGCAGTTTACCACTCCCTTTATTCCACTCGTCCTATCAAAACAGCCAAGGAGTAACAGATCACTAATGAAGATCTCCTGAGACTCACAGAGGAAGGGGAAATGGCACAAATCTATATTATATCTGGAAAGAATGACCACATGGGTCATGGGTTGCACAATATTACTTTAAAGCAAAAGAACCTATTGCTAGATAAGACACTCTATGATGTCTGTATTATTCTAGAAAGTGCCACTTAGACAACCAAAACAAGTGAGTTGTGTGACACTAGATACTGTAACCTTGAAGATTACTGTCTTTCTTGGAATATTAGTGTAGGGAGACTACTTTTAACTAGAGGTGTAAAAGATGCATGCCATAAATTGGTATGAGAATGGCCTTTTGAAAGGCTTGAAAACGATCTCTGCCATGTGATTATATATTATGGGATGGAGCCTCACAGAATTCATCTTTCAGGAGTTTTAAATTTGCACAATTTTTTTTTTTGCTGAAATATATTCATTATATTCATAGAAATAATTTATAGAAAAGTATGTTTTGGAGTGTTTGTGTAATTAAATAGAATGCATATATTGCCTTTTCTCTGAGCAAAAATTGGCTTATATGTGATTATTTTTTATTTTAGTCTAACAGCAGTCCAGTGAGATTAATTGGCTGAATGTGAGTGACTGGCTGAAAATAATCTTATGAGAATGGATCTGATATGGAATCTTTTCGATTATATCACAATATGTTAAGATTACCATACTATCTCTAGTATGGAAATCTTAACATATTGTTGATATAATTTCTCAATATGAGTGATAGCTCATTTATGATAGAGTGATAGACAGTTTGGTCTAGCAGAGACAGCCAGTTAGCTAGAAAGCCTTCTTGGTGACTTTGGGCCACAGACTTTGAGCCACTGATTTTGGACTACTGGATTATGATTTTACAAATTGGGATTATGGCATGATATACACAAAAAGGGCCACATTTAAAGCGATTCATTTATTTTTAATGGCAAGGCAACTCAAGAAGCCCAAAACTATATCCTCACATTGTAATTGGGTATTACAGGTTTCACAGAAACCTGAAATGGTGGATAGATGGTGATTAAGCACTTTGAAAAGCTTGACTATCTCACTATAAATAGTCTTATTGAAAGTAGTCTGCATAAACTACGCTGTGGCATTTCTAAATGGCCTTTATTACATTCATTACAATTTTTGGCTCCAAAAGGCTTTGATGAATTTTTAAACATCTCTTACAAATATAAACTTGTCTCATGATGATGTGATTCAAGAGAATAAATCCTCGCATGTCATTTGACGTATCTAAGAATTCAGTGTACTCTAGAATCCCTTAAAGGTGATTTGGATTTATTTGGATTTGGATTTATTCAATTTATAGGCCGCCCAATCCCGAGGGACTCCGGGTGGCTTAATTCAGATTTTTCAGATTTATTTCTGAAACCTCTCAGTTCAAATATTCTGAAATGTTTATAATCATAACTTTTAAAATCCAATTAAGAATAGGAAAAAAGGATCTAGTGTCAGGATGAAAGTTTAAAAACCTATATTCCTAATGGTTGCAGTCAAGAGCATTGATCTCATTATGATTGGACATCTTAGTTTCATTTAATTTCCTGTAATATGGACCTAAGTCACAGCACATCAAAAAATGCAGACCTTGAATCTGACAAGCAATTTCATAAACTATGTTCTCAGATCATGTTACAATGCATCAAAACATTTTGTATGGGGAACAAAAGTCCTTAACAATCTTTTTTTCTGTCCTTCAAATTTTTAAAAAAGAAAAGCCTTGAGATTTTGTTTCCTTTTATATAAAAAGTAACACAGATTTTTTTTTAAAATGAAATAAGCTTCCCCTTGATTGATATTTTTTACTAAGATTCTTTAAAAGGCCATGTAATAAATGTTCTTTTAGGCTCCATTGCTAATTTTCTATTTTTTAAAAAATAGAGGCATAAAAAAGCATACTTTCTAAAGAAAAAAATCATTTAACACAATAAATTATGGAAGCTAGCAGCACATCAGAAGGCCGAACTTTTTAATAGAAAACCTCAAAATGTCATTATTGATGAAAATGAAATACTAATTAGTAATTTCCACCAACTGAAAAAAAATCAATCTGCATTTTGAACTGATGCCATTGAACAGCTGCAATATCGATCCTAGACAGTATTTTGCTTGCTGCTTCAACATATTCTTGAAAAATAAAGGGATGCATGCACTAATTAAAACAATTCTGAGCAAACTGGCCACAAGCTGCAATTCCTCTGGTCCATCACCTAGCATTATATAGGAATATTGGAACCATGATAACTTACCTTTGGCAAAGCATATTTAGGAAGTTTCATCTGCGCAAAAGTATTTCTGCGGTAAGACACGTAGTAATGCGGACGACCTCCAGATGTCAGCTGCAACATATAACATTGCTTTTTCTTATTATTTTAATCGAGATGTTATTATCACTGTTTTTTCCCCTTTTTAAGGCATGTAGAAAATAACAGGTGCATTATAAAGGGAAATGCAGTTATGTCACAATGGTTCCAAAATGGCAATGAAGATAGAGCAGGAGATGAAATAGCCCTCATTCAGATATGGAAAAAGATAGCATTAATAAGTATAGTCTATGCAGACTACAAAGGGAGACAAAAAGAGCAAGGGAAATGTACAGATGCAGGTTTCAGAAGCAGCATTCAGCATCCTCAATTGCAGAGGCAAAAATTGTAATACTGTACTCAAGTCAATAATGTTGTATTGTTATATAGTATGTTACATATTATATTTCCAATTTAGACAATGAGAAAATCTTTTCTGCTCTAGTCAGCTTTGGGGAAAAAACTTTTTTTCTCCCAACCCAGGCTAAGGGCCCTAAGATTTTGATGAGTTCTAGAAGGTACACCAAAGTCCTCCATATAGAGTATTTCATTTGTATAACAGTAATATTTACACATGCTACAGCCAACCACTTCTTCCAGCAAGCCACAGAAATGAAATAATCTTCAAGCAACAACCCACGAGACAGCCTGCCTTTTCCAAAATCCTGGAGGCCAACAACCCAATCCTTTTCTAGTCACAATGAATGACAAAACAAAACAAAAATAATATCTGTAACAATTCATTAACAGGAGAGATAACTATAGCAATAGCAATAGCAGTAGACTTATATACCGCTTCATAGGCCTTTCAGGCCTCTCTAAGCGGTTTACAGAGAGTCAGCATATTGCCCCCAACAATNTATCTATCTATCTATCTATCTATCTATCTATCTATCTATCTATCTATCTATCTATCTATCTATCTATCTATCTATCTATCTATATTTCTTTACTATACTCGTATAGACTTCCCTTCTTCCTTCCTTCTTAATTTGCATTAGTTTTGTCTCCTTAATTGTAATGTTAAATGAAAGTACTAGTTAAAAATGACTTCTGCTAAAAATACTTTTTTCTCATAAGATAGTTTCTCCTAAAGAAATGCTCATATAATTTTCTACTCACAGTGATTTCTCCTATCTAATGGAGCAGGCTCACAGATTCTGACTCTTAACAATATCTACAGGGTCAGGAAGCAGAGTCTTCTCAGTTGCAGCTCCTGGATTTGAGTTTTAAGAAAGCAATAATAACTTGGCTTTTAAGGAAGATGAGTTCTGGTATATATTGGGAAAGAAAGTATTCAATATATCACTGAGTTTATGGAGCTTCTCAGTCATCTAGGTCATGGTTGTCCCAAAGGAGCTTTTTCAAAATGCAACTGGATTTTCTTTGTTTTTCCTTGAAGAAATTTTGCTTCCCATCCAAGAAGCAAAACAGTTTTCAAACTGTCTTTAAGGAAAAACCAAGACAGTCCAGTTGCCTTTTAAATAAGCACCTTTGAGATATCCCTGAGCTATACCTTATTGAAGCCATCATATGTTCAAAATAAGTTCGAAATAAGAGTACATGTATGCATCCTCCTCAAATGAAATTGCAACAAGAACAAAATATTGTGGGTAAAACATTCTTAGGGACCACAAACATCCATAAATCTCTGAGTTCTAAATATGCATCCTGCAATTACTTAGTTGTCCAATCCATTATATTGTGTAAGGAAATTTTAGCCACACAGTTACGGTACTTCATTTCTCAATTTTCTTAAAATTTCATTTTTAATTATATTGCACTTAAGAACCTTTAAAGGCTCCTGGATAGTTTAGGTTAAAGCTCAAAAGTGCATAGCAATGCAGCAATTCCACTTATGCAGTCAACTTTATCTGATTTTTTTTCCTCCAGAAATTGTCTGTGTAGAAGTTCTGAGTTCTGAGAAGTTCTTTCTGAAGTTTCTTGTTTTTATGAAAAAAAAGCCTGAGGATTTACTTGAAAAATAAAACCAACCTTATAAACTCTGGATGTCCTATTTATTATTTATTTATTTATTTATTTATTTATTTATTTATTTATTTATTTATTTATTTATTNGGGGGCAATATGCTGACTCTCTGTAAACTGCTTAGAGAGGCCTGAAAGGCCTATGAAGCGGTATATAAGTCTACTGCTATTGCTATTGCTATTGCATGTTTGAGATTTTCCTGACTTCAGATGCACTGAAATTGGGAGGCTCTGAAGGGCATACCAAAATCTTTGTTTGTGTTACCTTTACCTTTGCTGTCTTACTGAAATGCCCAACTGTTTCAATTTCTTCATTGACTATGGGACTTTAGTTTTAGGATATGAAAACACATAGTTGAATTCATTCTTCCTTTCATATATATTATTTCCTATGTTACTACTATCACACAATTCCAAATAATAATGCAGCCCATCCTATGCTTAATAGTTCCAACATAGAGTATTTTCACCTTTCCCCCACAATTTATCTGTGTGTTTATAGCAGAATATGCTATAGATTTTTGTTTGAACAGTCCAAAGCACTTTCTTCCAAAAACATTTCAGGCTTATTAGCATGTTTTTGTTTGTCTATTTTAGATAATAATTTTGAATCGAGGAGGGAAAGTCTTCTGAGAATCCCCCCATGCTGATTATTGCTGCATAAGTAACACTATATTTTGAATCTATTCCACTGTGAGTTAGCTTTTTCAACAGATCATTTGCAGTGAATGGTTTGGTTTACAGTTCTGACAAATTTGGGGACTTTTACCCCAAAACAGAGATAAATAGCTAATATGCATTCAAATTGGCAGAATTTAACTTTGTACCATGTAGAGGTTGTAACAGCTTCTCTTCACTTAAGGATTTTCCTTTATACAATTTAATCGGGGTATAGGTTTCAGAACCTATAGTGATTTATGTCTTCCTTCTTTCTTGAAAAGCAATCAACTGTACTTCTATTCATGTATCTTTTTCTTTGCTTCCTTAATCTTTCTGGGTTTGTCCAGCTATGAGGTTCCACATGGCTTCCTCATGGTAATTGATTTTCTTCCTCAGAATGATTTCTTCAACTGGTGATGTAGAGGATCACTTTGTCTGCTTCATATTACTCATGCCAGCTTCTCCTGCAGTTCTTTTCTAATCTCATTGGGGGCATTTTTCAATCATGCTGCTGGGTGCCAGCATTGCCAACAGAGTGTTCATAGCAACTGGACTAGGACACAAGCAGTTGGAAATCAGCATAGTATACAATCAACAGGTCCTTCTACCAAGGTTGTGAAAGAGCTGTGCAAGCAAAGGAGCCACACCGCATGAGATGATTATCACCATTTGATCAGGACGCTTCTACAGGAGAAGAATGAAGAAGCCACATGCAGCCTTCTGCTATAATGAATGATAAGTGGGAACAAATACACAAGTGGGTGATTTAATCTTAGCCCTTAAAAATATACACTATGCATGTCTCTCTTTTACCCATGAATAAACAAAAAAAATTAGAAGTCAAAACTATGAATATATAAAACCTGTTATGTGTACATTAAGGCCTTATTATTAATCATGGATGTGTGAAACAATGAATGAAATCACAAATAAAGAGTTTTCTCTATATTTTCCATGGTAGGAGAAATTACCAGACTTGTTCTAGAAAGAAAAGAAATGAGGAAATGTATTGATCTAACCCTTAGAAGAGTTTGATATACATTCTTTTTGGAAGGAAATGATATACTCAGACAACTTAGAGTCTAGAGTGGTACAGCTGATGGCATTTGGTAACACATTCAGGATTTTCTATATTCAGCCCACTTAAAAACTCCTGGTTATAGACAATCCAGCTTCAAAATGTATCTGCTGATGCAAGCCAGGAATCTCAGCCTAAGGAAATACTTGAAAGACAGATAATTTATATCTCATCTCCACTTTGCCAGCACTTTATTTCCTCCTTGTTATGATGGGGGTAGCAGCAGGAAGATAATGATACTTAAAACTATTCAGATATATTCTCTGGCTTTCACCTGGAACATAGCTGAGCTGAATATATCTCATTTTCTTCTTTTTCGCAATAATAGGAGCCCACACATGACAATCATGCCTGATTAAGCATTCCCTTTCTGTATTCTTTCTACATCTCCATTCCATCTCTAAAGAGAGACTCTATCTAGCCCCATTTCAAACTAATAAAAAAGAAAACCTTGATTGGTCTGTTGTAATGGTGATATGGGAACTCTGGCATGCAAACTTAAAAGCCCATTGAAATGTGAGAACATTTTTGGAATAGACAATGTGGAGAGCTGACTGACAAGATAGATTATTTCCATACACCTTGAACATATGTCAGACCTCACCCCTCATGACCCTTGTGTTAACAAAGTACTTGAACCAAAGGCAGAAGGAAACAATTAGCATCCCAATGGGGAAAAAAACTTTGGTGATGTCCTGAATTAGCTTGTTCTCAAGCTATTTTGTTGCTTCTGTTAGGGAAGGGAGTTTAACATTGAAAAATAAATGAAAAAATGATTTGCAATCAGTGTTTCAGACCTGAACAAATACATAGTCATCTTGGACAATGAGAGAATCCGAATCAATATATCCAGGAAAAGGCTTGCTTCTTACAGCTTCAGAGCAGTTCTGCATCCTACAGGTGATGTACTGTGCATCTGAAAGCACACAAAGAAACATATAAACATAACAAGATTTCAGCTCTGAACGTTCATAATCTTTTATGGGAAGTCCTCAATTTATAACCTTTCATTTAGTGACTGTTTGAAGTTACAATAGCAATGAAAAAAGTGACAAACATTTTCCCCACGTATTATTGCAACATCTCCGTGGTCAACCTTCAGATGGGCAACTGATTCATATTGATGATGGCGGCAGTACTCCGGGGTCTAGTAATTGCCTTTTGCCACCTTCAATGGAGGGGCCAGATTAACTTTACAACCATGTTGCTAACTTAATAACTACAGTGTTTCACTTAACATCTGTGGCAGGAAAAGGGAAAAACTCATTTAACAACTGTCTCAGCAACAGACATTTTGGACTCAGTTGTGGTTGTAAGTTGAAGACCACCTGTCCTTAAATATTTCATATACAGATCACTGCTTGAAAAAAATTAGTTATGTTATGATAGCCAATTGGAAAGCAAAGTGCAATAAATAGTCAAAACTTTTTCTTGCTTTCTTGTGGATTTTAGAGGATTTTAAAAAGACCCCCAATTAAGTTTCTTTAAGTGTGTAACAGAGTAAAACAAATCAAACTGATTTTTTNAAAAAAAAAAAAGGATATGCTATTGTCAGCTGTGACTAAGTAAAACTTTGTATCCATCATAAATTTTAAGGAGATAAAAGGAGACTATTAGAGATACAGCTACATGCAAAAGTTATTCCTGCTCAAATTGTATGTTTCAGTTGAATGAACTGAAGCTAACATAATCTCTACATGCTATGAAGATAAATGCATCATCGTTTGCACATTTGAATACTTGCTTACTTTTTACATGCAATTGTTTACAGATTTGAGATAAGAAAACAGTGAAAATAGCAGATGCAGAAATATGGATAACTTTCCAGTCAGTGCTTTGTAATACCTCTTTTGGCAAAAATAACTAGTTCAAAGAGTGTAGAGTGCAAAAATGCATTACGATTTGCAGGAAAATATTATATCTATACAATGTATAGACTGTGTTCATTTCTGTTCAGAGACTCATTGAAACATGTAATTTGACTGGTGTCTAAACTTTTGTATGCATATGTGCATAAGTAATTATGTTCCTCCTTAATACAGCATAGCCTTGCCTGAAGTTCTATTTAAAGAGGCTGAATAATTAGGAATTATTTTTAGAAAAAGGCTGTCTGCACCCTGTTACTTTTCTCTAGCCAAGCTTGACTATCCCTACCTATTCAGCATATCCAGTTCTCCAAAGCACTCCATAGTCTGTGTAACTCTAGAATGCTAGACATATATAGATATAACTATTCACCATATGCCAATTTTACTCAATACTAACCACACACACACACACACACACAGAGCCAGTCAATAAAAATAGTAAGAAAATACACTGTTTAATGAAGTTCTGTTCCAATGACCATGCCATTAAGTAAAAAGGCTGCTAACTGAACACATGTCTGAGAGAGAATTGCTGTGAACCTCACTGGTTGTTGTTGCCTCATTCAGATAAAGTTCTCTCATAAAACTATGCCAATGTTGTTCTTACCCTGGCATGCATTGTTAGGCATGCAAAATATGGTCATAGGTGATTTTTGTTATTACTGCCATATTTGCAAATGGCTGCTGACTGAGGTAGTCACTAAAATGAGGAGTAGGTATTAAAACACCTATTTTATTTATGTAACCACCCACAATTTATTTTATTTATATAACTGTTCATCTCACAAAATATGACTCTTGATGATATAAAATACATTCACAATTAAAATCATATAATGCATCACATAAATAATGGATAAAAAACAAAAATGCATGAGGATAACACAGCCATTTAGCAATGGATAACCATCTTACAAGCTTACCACGCTGATCCTCAAGTTTGATGGAAAAACTAAAACTTTAGAATATTAGAGAAGATAGACAGGATTGGGAAAATCTCACCCCAGGAGAAATACTGTTTCAGAGGGCAGAGACTACAGCAGAAAAGCCATATACTGCCTGTGCCTTGTCAGATGGAACTTACTAGTACTTGGGATCCACAATATTCCCTTCCTGCTGCACCTGATGGGATGGGTGTATCCCATGTAAAGAGGAAAAGACGGTCTCCCCAAAGCGTTGATCCTATGACATATAGGGCTTTAAAAGCCAAAAAACATATCCTTGAATTGCACTCATAAATAAAGCGGCAGTCCGTGCAGTTTGTATAAAAGGTATAACATGCACAGCTTAGGTGTACATAGGGCTACACATAGCTATCTACCGCAGTGCACTCTGCATCAACTGAAGCTTCTGCATGTTCTTCGAGTATAGCCTCATATAATGTGCATTACAGAAATTCAATCTGGAGGTGACCACAATGTGAGTGACTATGAGTAGAGACTCATGCTCCAGGAAAAAGTGCAACTGGTGCACAATATGAAGCTGTGCAAAGGCCCTCCAAGCTATATTCGGCATCTGCTCCTTGGCAGGAATCAGGATTTAAAACATACAACTTCTTTTCTCCAAATTAGAAACTACAATTTTAAAAGCTGCATTGTTGCTGTAGCTCACCTGAATCACAAAAAAAAACAAAACCCAAAACAGCCCTCTTTCAAGGAATGACTACGCCAGCTTATTGTTTAGCAGAGTTAAATTCCTTAATTCCTGTGCCATCAAAAGCCACCAGAGGGAGCCAACATATTTTTGTAGTCTTCACTTTTGAAGGATCTCATCAAAAATCAAAAATCATGTGAGAAGATAACATTTTCTTGTTCTACAAGTTCATCTGCCTGAGTGACTGGACAATTGAGTGGACATTCAGCCATGGTTCACACATCGCAGGGAATTTACATCTAACCAAAATCTGTCAACCCAGGCAAGGGGAGTAACAGGAGTCATTCCTATAAGTGAGCTTCAGGTCTGAGGCTGAGGCTCAGCAAATAAACATGACAGCAAGTATCTATGTCACATATCTCAACTCTATGGTGGCACAAATGAACAGTGGTGACATTTTTCGCTGCTGCCCCTGATACCTTTGTTTCTCATATATACTGTACATATGGCATGGGTCTCTTCCCAGTTCTAAGGACCCAGATCACAAATATATTTTAATTCATTTTATGGATGTTCTTGATACACTGAACTACCCAAATAACCTGGATTCATACAACATATCACGCTACAGAAAGGTAAAGAAGATAATGGTGTCTCTGCAGATTTTACTCCCCTAATCATTGTTAACTATAGGGGGCACTTCATCTCCATTTCAAGGCAGCGATGTCCAGACATCCATGATCATGTGGCCAGCACAATGTCTCACCGAGGTGGTACCTATTTATATACTTGCATTTGCATGCTTTCAAACTGCTAGGTTGGAAGGAGGTGGGGTGAGGATGGGAGCTTGTGTGGCACTTGGGTCTCAAATCTGGGCTGTCGGCTTTCCAGCCCACAAACTCAGCGTCTTAACCACTAAGCCAGCACATCACCACAGAAGCTAACCAAAATTAATAAACCTCCTCATTCTGTGTGAATTCAGCTGCTAGATTGATAATTGGCATGATATTCAAGTGAACACCTCATTGAATAGATTTCACCTGGAACTCATGTGTTGTCTACTGGGGAAGAAAGTAGTCCCTATAATGTCGAAACTGACATAGCAAATAAAATATAGAGATTGACATAGCAAATAAAATGTGTTCTTGGATTTCCAATAAGGCTCTTCTCCTGCAGCAATATAAATTAGTAAACAAATAAATAGTTATCCTCAACTGCAAAAATCTGGAGACTTGTAGAGCCATCGAAGTTAAAAATCTCTGTAGTTCTTTCCTTCCATCTAATATTTTGCTACAGTTTTCTAATTTGGTATGCAAGCAAGAAATAAATAAAATGTAAAAGTATTTCGTTATTTTTCTCTATCCATGGAAAACCATGACCTGACAATCTTTTTTATGTACTGTGTCTCCAAGAACTTGCCTTCATCTCATGCCTGTCCATACTTTGAATAGCATTAAATTTGTTTAGATGTTACTATGTTAAAGTAGCGCTTTGCCATTTAAGTAACCAACAAGCTGTGGCAGCTTTACTAAGAGTACAATCTGATATGTTCACCATCTGCATCTATGAAGCAAAGCTAAAAGGCAAGAAGATAGGATTGCACAGCAAAGCAGAATAAGGAAAGCCAGTATTTAAAATCAGCCTATACAAAAGTTGACAATGGGATTAATGTCAGTTTGAAATCTACCCCTGTAAACTGTTGTTCAAGCTATTAGCTGGTTCGCCAAGCTAGAAATTGGCTCAGGGACCTGGTAGGTAAAGAATCTGCTATCGTGCCTTGCCAGTTCCCAACTGGGGCTGAAAAAGTGTTGGAATTCATTCCGGGTGTTTGCGTGCAGGGCGGTTTCTGCTGTCTGAAACACACATACACAGGGATGCAAAAACATCGCACCAGAAACATCTTTCTGGCCTAACGGTCATAACTCACTATGCAGCCTCATGTAACAAGAACTATGTGAGCCANTTGTGCCTGGGTATGCATATATTCTTTTTAAAGGAAATTTTAGTTACAACTTTACCTCTTAGCACCCAAATACTATTTTCTTCCATGGGTCATGCTTCATGCCCTTTCAGAACTTAAATTTCATTAATTATAGATCACAAATGGGAAATTCAAAGCAATTCTTTTTTCTGCCACTTTCTTTTTAGAATCAAGCTTGTCCAGAATATTAGTTACCCACAATTATTGTTTTGGTGTCATTCTGGAAACTGGAATATGGCATAACCAAAATACATACACTCTACTGTTTTCTACTCATTCCTTCTTTATTTTTCTATCTCCTCTATACTGCTATTCTTCCAATCCAACCAATTCTTGTCATGCCTGTACACATCAGCATTTTCTTGAAATCTACATGGCTTATTTACTTGAAGCACTTTCACATTCATATCAGATAACATACTAAAAGGTTTTTAGCATTCTTTGTTGCCTCATAAATGCTACAGTG